ACTTTAGTTTCCTTTCCAGAAGCGCGGATTATCTATCTCTCGAACCTGATCTATGGATGCCTGATTTTGGCTTGTGTAATAAAAGATATGTGGCCAAGAGATGATCACTGCCTGGTGCAACTGTTTTTAGTGAAGTTGGACAACTGTCTTATGTCCGTGGCAGCAGCAGATACCCCTTAACCTACTGCTCTGGGAATAAACCTTGATCTTACAGTTTCCAAACACCTGGTCCAAACACTAGTCCTCCCCCTCCCCCCAATAAGTTTGGTATGCTGAGATACATGATTTCATGGTTCAAGTGTAAAACTAGAATAACATACCTCTAGTAAAAAGTAGCAGTTTCCTCTAGCACCATAAGTGATGCCTGGTTTGTTACTAAGCCAGGGAGTATCTGTCACTACAATGTAGTCAACATCAGAGAAAAAAGTGTCCTTTTTGTCCTCCACAAGTTTTTCAAGACCTTGGGATCCTGTTTCCTCCATTCCCTCAATCACAAGCTTCACATTTACTGGAAGACCCTGAAACAACATTGCAGTCTTCAATTAGATGTACAAGCGCATAATTCACAGAATAAATCCACCCATCTCAGTAACTGAACCTGCTGGTGTATTAAAGTGACACTAAACTCAATCTCAAAAATCTATTCATGTACCTTAATTATTAACCAAAATGAACCCTATTTGTGCATAACTCGGCTCTAGATCCTCAAATTATCTCTGAATTCCTGCTAAGCTTGTCCTTCCTTCTGGAGAGTGGCTATGTTTGTCCCCCATGACCCCTGTGTGTGGTGTAAAGTAGGCACTGCGCCAGGCTCGCTACTGTGACTATAATCTCAATACAAATTAGTAAACTAAACGTGAGATTGTGGTCCATCACGGGAGCGAGCTTGGAGAGGTGGCTATTAGGGATGCACCGATACCGTTTTTTCAGTATAGAGTACAAGTACCGATATTTTTTTGTCGATACTCGCCGACACCGAGTACCATTACCAGCATCCCGAGGTAGCGTAGGCCCTGCTTCCCACGCCTGGTTAGTCAGGAAGCCAGGCTACCCCACAGTGTCGCTAGGCAGCGTGAAGTCGTCTGCCCGACTGGTCGTGAAGCCGGCTGCCCTGCACAGTCGCTAGCCATCATGAAGCTGGCTTCCCAGTCAATCGGGAAGCCAGGCTGCCCCGCAGTGTCGCTAGGCAGAGTGAGGCCAGCTTCCCGGCCAATCAGGAAGCTGGCCAGCGGGTCATGACCTGCCCCCAGCTTCCTAATTGGTCAGGAAGCAAAACTGCCCCGCAGGCTTGCTAACCAGTGCAAAGCCGGCTTCCCTGCCATTTGGGAAGCCGGAAGGCAGTTCTGGTATCGGGGTAAGTATATGAGCCTTTGGGTGAGTACGAGTACTTGCCCAAATGCTCAGTATAGGCATGTATACCAGTATTGGTATCAGTGCATCCCTAGTGGCTACTTTACAACAATCACAGGGACCACAGGGAACAAAAGTAGCCACACTCCAAAAGAAAGACAGTGTCATCATGCATTCAGAGATCATTTAAGGATCTGCAGCTGAGTGATGGACAAATAAGTACAGTTTTGTTAATAGTTAAGGTACTTTAATGTATTGCTAAGATTTAACTTCTGAGTTTAGTCACTTTAGGCCTTGTAGAGCCCAGCATGGGGATCCTCCAACATCTCAATGTCCTGTTTAATCAAGTCAGCATGGATGAAAGGGGTCTAGACCAGCTTTATCATAAGTTGTAAATGGTCAATTTTAGTGCCTTCATAAAGTTTTGTTATTTCTTTAAATTATTTTCTATTTCACAAATGACTGATTGCTAGCTAGTCTAGGTTTACTGTGGTAAATTACAGAAGGACTGCAAAACATCTAGCTATTTGTAGTATGCATACTAGATTTACATACAAATTTTGTAACAGATTCGACTGCATGCAGCAAAGCCAGAACTTGTCCTTTGTCATCAGAAGTTCCTCTGCCAAACAGGTTACCTGTAATAAAAGTTAATATAATATTTCAGATTGTTCTGAATCGAACTTTATTCAGGTACATTGTGTCTCAATAAATCTTCTATACACAGTTTTCAAAACTTAAGACATTTATACAATCAATATTACATGTAGATATTCCTCATAGTTAAAAAACAGACATGATCAGACATACCATTCTCCTCTATGAGAGTATATGGTTCTGTTTTCCAGCCATCCTCTTTCTTTGCAGGTTGTACATCCATATGTCCATAGAAACACACAGTAGGCTTTTTTGTATCATTTCCAAATTGTGCAAGAATTACTGGTGGCAGTGGAAGTTTTATACCTGGGGAATACTTCAAGAAATATATATTTTTTTAAATGACCTATTATCAGAAATCTGATATAATGATATTTTTTTGTACATTGCACAACAGAATTGTTTATTAAGCAACTTCCCAAGTCTACTATATATGTTGCAAGTATTTTATCAAACTCAGCTTTGGCCTCTTTCCAAATATTTTATGGACATTTTTCAGAGAATAGCATCAAAAGGTTGTTAAACATACATGGTTACATAGTAATAACAAGGGTAATACAGAGGAGCAGTGGAAATCAGGAACAGTGGAAAAGGAATAAGTTAGTGTGAAGTATGGTAGGTGGAAACATTACATACATGATGTGCCTGCAGCTCAAGTGGGAGTCTACTTATAATATCTTTGATGTCCAGAGGTGTTGTTTACAAACCTCTGGGCATGGAATGTACATGGGGAGAAAAGTGTTGAGCAACGGTGAACAAAAAGAGGAATCAGATGTAAGCATGAAGTCAAGGTTAATGTGGGTATTTCAAGAGCTTCTCCAGAGTTCAGTTCTAGCGTCTGATTGTTTTTGGGGGCTAATAACACATGCTACACATTCTAAAGCAATATGTTGGGAGACTGCCATTTCCACATGTCCACCGATGCTTAAAATGTAGTCTTTTGTAACTTCCATCATGTGTTGAAGTTGGTCTCTCTTTGAAGGATCACTGGAGTCACTTTCTATTGCCACCCAGTTCTTCAGTCTCTAAAATTAAAAAAATAAAGTACAATGTACCTGTGTACTGTCAAGTATGCATTTTTCTGCAACAGGTATGTGTAAAACTGCCGAGCTTACCTGAATATATTCACTCTGGTGATCATTAATGTACTGAAATAAGGCATCATTTTGCACAGGAGTTAAGATAACTTGATCACTTAGCAAAGATAGGAGAGCTAGTAGAAAAAGCTGTAAGACAAAAAAGAAAGACCTTACAAATTAGAAAATTCCAGGTAGCATGTGACAATATATCATTTTTGAAACATTCTGACCATAAAATACAACTGATTCTAGAAAAATTAAGATTTATTTTTTTAAAAGTCTATGATATTCTCGAGCAGAGATTTTTACCCTTTTTACAATTACAGGCCCCCAATAGTGTCCAGTATGTCCCCATACCCCCTTCGCCAGACTGTGAAAATGGACTTAATCACAAATCCTGTGATGAAGGCACCAGTATGGCTCCAAAAAATGTCAAGCTTGGTTTTACTTTAGATATACTGTAGATAGACATTTAAGAACATTTAAAGAGGAACTTTACCCATATCTTAACAACAAAACCACCTTTAAAAAATGTTAAGTAATGGCAATCTACACACAGATACTTCTAGATAATTGCCGGCTTTTATCCTTTGCATACCTTGTTTCTCTTTTCCTCCCCCTTCTTCTTACAGTGTCCATTTTTTTTTTACTAAGGGCAGATTATTCCATCTCCCTTTGCTTCCTGGAACTCTGGCACATGTGACTAGGACATGCGACCATGCACATGATCCCAGTGGAAGAAATGCCTTTCCCTGAGATCTCATGAGATTTCTCAGTAATGCTCTGCTGATGTAACCTTCCCAGAAGGCAATGCTTGGACACGATTACATCATTTGCAGATTAAGCCTCCATGGATCCTGGAGGACAAAGTATCCGTTTGATGGTTTGTAGTGTGGTGATGACAGTTCAGGGGGAACTTTCCCAACTATGCAGCTGATTAAGTGGAGCCCCGTCGGGTCCTCAAAGTACTTTGAGATACAGTGAAGTCTCTCAAAAGTTTTTAAGGTTTTAAATGTCCGTTCTGTGTGATTTATATGTTTATACTTTTTCTATTCAATTAAAATATGGTTGATAAATATTTGCATGTTAATATATCATTAATTTAATCAGCTCCTACTTGGGATTTCCTTGTTGCTAAAGGGAACCAATTTTCTAATATAAGGTTTATGGAAACCCTGGAGCTGTTAATACTCTATTTAACACTGTGAGCAACCCCCTTCCCTTGTATATAGAATAAAATAAAAACATGTTTGTTTAACTAAGAGATGTAATATGATTTTTTATCCGCATGCAGAGCGGCATGCTGATGTGATTTTTAGTAAACAGGGTAAAGGTCCACTTTAAGATTATATCTTACTTAATCATATAAAAACAGGAAAATTACAAATACATAAGATAGCCACAATTTCTGAGATTTTTGCTGTGTTTGTGCTATCTAAACATACAATTGAAGCACAGTTACTGACATGCAAGTAACATAACTATATCAAGCAACATAGCTGGCCGCTATGTCACTACGGGGCACAGTAGTGACATAGTGGTCAGCATGAGGAAACAAAGCCCCTGGTGGGAGACCACTTCTGGGTGGATACCAGTGGGGTGGATACCAGATTTAACACAATGCCTGCCTGAAAGATACAGTAGGGATTCTTCTCTTTTACGGGCTGCTGCTGCTGGTGGTTAAAATATTTACTGCATAACAGGTTTATATGACACAGTAGGGTACTATACTGTCACTCAGCCTCTATAGGCAGGGCAAGCAGCAGAGAGATGCTGTCACTAAAGAGTTTCTCATCCACTGAACAATCTGAGCAATTATGACACCATATTATATAGAATTGCTGCAATGTTATTGCTATACCACCCCTACAGCCAATAGCAACTGTTCCAGATTGAAACTGAGATCAAGTGCTTCATATATCAAGAATGCTTGCTGCAAATTAATAATAGACAATGTAAGGTACATTGATTGGAGGTAAGGATTGCTACAGATGAAAAAAAAAACATTTGTCTTGACTTCCATTTCTGATCCATTTCTAGTATATACTGTATATTTACCCTTAAGTCCCAAAGAACCTTTGTGCAACTGCAGAAATTGGTATGTCTACCTGTGGTACAATTGTAATCACAGGGCATTCATAAATAATGCTGGATGGACTATAATCTGGTGATCTTGTCTCAGGAGGAATCATGGGTCATGTTATAAACAACTTAAAGAAAGCACTTAAATAACTTTACAGAAAGAACTTAAAGAAATGTTAATGCTTTAAAAATTGTATTTCAGATGAAGTTATCTAATTAAAACCAAGCTCCATTGTAATTCAAAATGCTGAATTATGTGATTAAACCTAAGTAGTGTATGGGATCAGTTTAATAAATTCTTTTGAAAAGTTTAAGGTGAGTGGATTCTGTTAGAGAGATTAAAATATTTTCATCAGCCTACCTACTACATTAATGAAAATACCACAGGATGCCTGTTAGTTATAGAAGTGATTATTGCACATAGCACAAGTAAGTAAAACCCACAAACCATCAGTTTCTAAGTTACTTACCATGGTGATTTGCAAAGCTGGTCTTATCCTAGAGTACTGTTAGTGGCGCACTCCACACTGGCTCTTAGGAAAGGATGTGCTCTAATTTATAAGCGGCTGGGACAAGCCACTCCTACGTACCAGCCCTCTTCCAGAGAATCGCATTTGTATGTATTCCTAATAAAGCAGGCTTAGTGAAGCTAAGTCTTGGTTAATAATACATGCAAAGTAAATATGAAACTTGTAACACCTATGTATTCCTAAGATTATTATAGTTTGCCTTGCCGTGCATTGTTCTTCCTTTAAACTAGTTAGCAGTAACTGATTTAATTATCAGCAAAACAGCATCTGAACTAACATCTCAAGTACGTTTCTCACCAAAATACTGCTTAAACAACACAATTGTTCAAATAATGGAACAAGTAAAAACATGAGTCTCCTGGAGGACATGCGCCCTCTTCAAAAGGTTTCCGGTTCATCTATTCACCAAATCACTTGGTCTGACCATGCACCCATTTCCCTGTCAGTTCTTGCTCATGGTCCTTCCATGGAGACTTTTGTTTGGCGTAACAATGCAAGTTTATTATACAATCCTAAATTCACTAAGTTTCTCAGTGATCAGCTGCAGAAATTCTTTCTGTTTAACAAGGATTCCACTGATGATCCTTTTTGTCTTTGGAACTCACATAAAGCCTTTATGAGGGGGTTGTTGCTGAAATTGGGAGCTGTTTCCAAGATGCAGGGGTCTCAGCAAATAGATCACCTGTTATCTCAAATTGATTCTTTGGAATCACAAAACAGATTGGCCCCCAGCCCAGCTCTAGCTTCAAACCTGCTAAAACGTACAGGGGAACTTTGAATACTATTACTTAATAATGTTGACTATCATACCCTTAAATTGAAAGCCATGTTTTATACTCATGGCAGTAGGACTGGCAAGGTTCTTGCCCACAGAGTAAAAAAAATATAGCAGTGCAACTAGAATTCCTTATTAACTGCAACCCACTGATAAGTGTAAGGTCTGGCACCCCCGGCATATTGCTAACTTGTTCAGCTCTTATTACAAAAATTAGGGATGCACCAATACTTTTCGAGTACCAATGCCGATACTTAGCATTTTCATGAGAACTACCGGGGTTGTAGCGGTTGCAGCTGGGACCTAGCTCTGGCACTCCACCACTGTCCTGAAATCATTAGTCTGTATTGTTTTAGAAAAACTGTCACATGACAATAAACAAAAATGTATCAGTACTCGTACGTGTAAGTACTTGGGCAAGTACCAGTACTTGTACTCGCAAAACTGGTATCGGTGCATCCCTTTATATATGTTTATAAAAACAAAATCATACATTAAAACAGAGATGTACAAATCCCAGGAGCTCCGTGTGCTTCCTTACAAATGACAGCTGCCTCCTAACTTTTTAATTTTTCTCTAGTCTAGTCTTGGAGCTCGAAAAGTATCAGTACTTGTACCAAGTACGGTACTTGGTGTCGGTGCATCCCTAACAAAAATCTATACAATGTTAAAAATCACCCTTCCACACCCTGACCTAGTAAAACAGACATCAATGAGTATTTATAAACTATCAATCTCCATACATTATCTGTTTCTCATCTCGCACAGTTAAATGCTCTTTTTATGTCTACGGAATTATTGGGTGCTATCTCTACTATGCCATCCAATAAGGCCCCAGGCAGGATGGATTTTCAATTTCAATCTCTCTTGTGCCCTTACTTTTTACAGGTGTTTGAAAAGGCTTCGACCTCTGCCTCGTTTCCACAGGAAATGCTTAAAGCTTTAATTATTACGTTGCTCTTCCATGTTTAACAATAATTACTTACCCTTTTTGACCACTCATATCTACACTAAGCTCCATTGGAAAGGAGAACCTCTACTGGTCGGCCAGATTAGCCTCTTTAAAATGATTTTTTTACCGCAAATCCTTTACCTATTCTGGACTCTTCCTCTCCCCCTTCAAGATAGTTATTTTAGAAATGTACAATCTCTGCTTCACCATTATCTGTGGCAGGTTAGAAAATCTGGATGCTCCCACTCCATCCTAGTTAATTCATGGAAAATTGGAGGTTTGGGACTTCCAGATTTAAAGGACTATCATATAGCTGTTTTACTAGATCAATTGAGACCTTGGCAGGACCCCACAGATTCAAAACTGTGGTGTACCATTGAACGGTCCTTAGCTCCCAAGAGCCATTCTAATACTCTTTGCGTCTCACTTGCTCACCAAGGATGCATTGAAGGACGTTTCTCCCTCAATGCAAGCTTCAGTACATGCTTGGAAAGCCTTGATTAGAATAACGGTTACTACAATGCCCACTCAAGAAGTGACGCTGCCTTTGAGCACTTTGGAACTGCTCATACCTGATTTATCCCCTCGTGGAGTCGTCTCCCTTCAGTCCTTATGGGATGAATCTTCATTTCATTCTTTTGACATTTTGGCTGATAAATTTGACCTCCCAAGACCGTTCTATTTTCAATACTCATGTATTCTCCACTTTTTTAAATCGCAGAAAGATCTTTATGCTATACCAGAGCGGGCCTGGAGATTTTATTTTAAATGGATTTGTGATTTCTGAATTTCTTTTTATGGTTTTATATGCACCTGTACTACTTGTCTATTTTGTTACTGTCTTTTTTTCTTGAAAAACTCTTAATAAAAACATATTGAAAGAAAACCCCCCCAAAAAAACAGAAGTAATAACATACATACATATTATCACTAATAATTACACCAACTGGAACATGTCTACTGTGACATAACAAGTACCATAATTACACAACCAGAAACATTTCCACAAAGATGGTAACAATGCAGCACAGCCAAGAACATATCCACAGAGACACAATCAGTGCCATTACGACACTGTAATAAACACTGCATTGCCATGTCTGCAGAAATATAATCACTACTATACTGAAACTACCAAGACCAAACTAATACGACCAGGACCATGCCAGCAGAGACACAACTAGTACAGTACTGACCCAAGCAGTACCATTGCTGGAGAGACACAATCAGTGCCATAATGATGAATAGAATGTATACCTGCTCAACTTTGTCTATTCAATCCAGAAGGGAAACACTGGTACAAGGAAAGACTTCCATCCACCCCTACCTCAAGACATGTTATAAATAATCCTGCACACAGCCTGAATGATTCCCACTGATTTATTGATGCATTGGCAAAACAGCTAAAAAAGTCTGTAAGCACTTTTAACACGTAATCAGAGCTATTATTAAGGCCGTTTTGCGCCTGAAACATGTGTACAGATTTTGCCCTTCTTAACTCTTTTGTCGATGCTGCAATAAATCACTGGAATTATTGGACATCCAGGCTGTGTGCAGGAATATTTATTACAGTGTCATAATGCCACTACCAAGGCCAAACTGATAGAACCAGGACCATACCGGCAGAGACACAACCAGCACTGCGCTAACAAAGCCGGGAACAGATGTCCACAGAGGTATCCAGAAAAAAAGAACAGTGCAGCATAAAACACTTATCTTAAACATGTCACAAACCCAGACAATTCAAACTGTTCCAGTATAATGGGCAGGGGCGTATTTACCACGGGGCAAAGTAGGCGTTTGCCTAGGGCGGCACCTTCCTGGGGGGCGGCCGTAGTCAAACGCCTATGTTGTGAAGAGGAGGGGAGAGCTGGAGCCCGTCTGTGTGTAGGAGTGGAGGGCAGCTTGCCTGCTTGTGAAGAGGGTGGGAGGACGGATGTAGCCGGACAGGGCAGCCGACGAATGGGATCGTGACTCAGAAAACGAAAAGCAGCCGGCGGCCACTTACTCGATCTCACTGCTTCCTGGGTCACAGAGCCGCTGTGACCCAGGAAGCAGTGAGATCGATTAAGTGGCCGCCGGCTGCTTTTCGTT